CCCCCCCCCCCCGGCAGAGAGACTGGAGAAGAAGGGACTACAAAAGAGTAAGCAGGCACACAATGGGGCTTACACCAGCTTTCGATGCATATTCCCCATTGTATGCCTGCTTACTCTCTTGTAATTTCCTTCCTACCCAACCTTTCCCCTCCCTTTCTGTGAGGGGAGAGGAAGGGGGGAAAAAAAGGGCCAGGCAAAAGACGTGTATTAACTGAATGTAATGGCAAGCACATGACTGAGAGATGCTGCAAAGGTGTAAATGTGCACCTGTATTTTACAAAAAAGCTTAACCAACTTACTTACCTAACACTTGCCACTAAACCTATACTACATTATACTTAATGTCTATGTATATATCTAATTCTTAAACATCTTATGAACAGATCTATTCTCCTTTGTTGCCCGAGCTTATAAGAAAGTCTTTAGCCATCTTCAAGTTAGTTGGCTTCTGTTGCTGTCAGCTGCTTCTCTGAACTACTGCTGAAACAGTGACTTTGCATTGTCTTTCAGGCTGTGTTTAAGGGGTGGGAAGGAAGAATGTAGACTCTCAGGGTCTCTGCTGGAGTGGTGAGGCTGCTGGGATCCATTTCCCTCTTCAGCACAATGTGCCGTTGGCTTGCTAAAGTCCACACCTGCACCTCCTTCATTGTCAGTTGTCTGCTAAGCTGCACTTTACCCTGAGGGCTGCTCCATTCCCTCAGCTGCTTCCTCTGCTCTCCCACATGACACAAATTTTCCTCCAACACACATCCTCAGGTGCTATCAGCATTTTCCCCTTACAATTGGAAACCAAGGGTGGTCCAGTACTCTTCTTTCTGCCTTAAAGTCCCAGGAAGCAAAACAAGGGAAGAAAGAACTCATGCTGGCTCTTAGCTATTGCTTTCCTTCCACACAAATATTAAGGAACAGAGGAACCGAGAGAAAAATAAGCAAACACTTTGGTTGAAAAACTGGTAACATCTACCATGCCACTGAGGATTGCCAGTATCATACAGAGCTGCTTTGAAGTTCTGGTACTTCATATCTGGTACCTTGGACCAAATATGTATGTTCAATACAGTGAAATATGTTTAATATAGAAATGGTCTGGCCTACACTCGAGCTTATCACCCTATCTAGATTTTTAAAAAGTTGCTTTGACCATGCACAGTGAGCAGAAGCAAGCCCAGAGGTTCAGTTAGATAAAATCAGGCATCATGGTGCCATTTTGCAGGATATGGCCCCAAGAAGAACATTGTCTAACTGCCACCAGAACTGATTGTGTTCATAAACTTTGCTTCCAGTTGGCCTAAGTATAGTTCTGAATATGCAGGTCACAGAAACTATGTTTAAGCATTAGATCCCATCAGATGGTTCATTTCTCCACTTGCATGACAGAGGGAAAGCTAGAAGAAAGCAGATGACATTCTGTTGGTTAATGGAAGATGTCTGGAGTTATTGTGGCAGCTACTGAGAAAATTCACTCTTTCTTGTATTGCTTTGCAAAGCAGACTTTTCTCAAACACAACAAAATTATCCTCAGATTCCATTATGCTAGACAACAATGCTTTTTCTATTTATATCAATATCATAACCCTTGAAATTAAAAGATAAAAAATTTGAACAGACTTTGAAGAGACATCTGTTTTTTTTCAGGTAGTACATGATGGAGTTTATGACAAAAGACAAATAAGGTTATACACACAGATGTATACCAACCAGGATGTGTCAAGGTTCTAACATGTTCCTCATTACACGTTAAAAGAAATCATAAAAAATTATAACCTTCCCTGTTTTTTATAAATTTAGGTTTACAAAGATTCAATTCATATTGCAGAAAACAGGATAAAAGCTCCCAAGAGAATTTTACATTATGCAAAAAGCAGTTTGTAGAGCCAGGTTGGTGTAGTTGTTAAATGCACCAGACTAGAAATCAAGAGACTGTTTCAGGTGGCTCTTATTTGTAAGCTGTAACTATGTACAAGATCAGGAAAAAAATCCTGATCCTTTTATCCAGCCCAAGTTTCATCCTAAGGAAGGACACTGGTAGAATAGTCATAATTTCATTAGGCACTGAAATGCCTCAAAAGCCCAGCACAGCTGCTTGCTTCAAAAGACCTGGAGACAGACCAGTTGTCAGGAACAACAGAAAAACCGGCCAAGAGAACTTGCGCCTGCTTTACAACTTATTGCATCAGCAAATTTAAAAAATTAATCTTTGGCAGCCATAAAGTGAATTATATACAGACATAAATAGCATAGCATTTCAAAGAATCTTAACGCAAGTTTCTGCTATATATGGGCAGTAGGGTCTTACTTTTACATGCAAGATTTTGTTTCTGAATAAAGAAAGTATTACAACAATTACAACTGATAAATAAGACCTAATGACATACGTAGCGGAAATACACATTAAAAACAATTCTGTATTATACCTACTTTTAAACATAGGACAGCCAAAATTTAAAAACAGTTCCTAATTAGAATACTAAATTATAAATACATCTCCCAGCCCACGTCTAAAAAAGCTACAGTAGCACGGCAGTTAATTATATGAAATATGAATCAGAATTCAGCCAAAGGTCACAGAGTAGCCTTAGAAAAGTAATTATGCATCAGTTTACGGTCTTATCCAATTCTTTATTTTCATGTTGCTATAATAACTTCTGTAAGATATTGGCTTCCTATGTAAAAATCTGCAAAACGCTATTTTGGCCGCTCCCACGAGTTCTTAGTCATCTTCTTGTAAGTTTTGTGTTCATTTCATAGGTGAGCAACATGGTTCCCTTTTTTGTGATAAGGCAGCTGATAATGGGAACAAGATGAGTGTTCTGCTCCAGTCTTTTTTATCAGCCGGACTGCGTAAATTTTGCATGGGACTCAGCAACTCTGTGAAAAGCACTGCTTTTTTGAAAAGAGAAAAGTGTGATCTGCAAACAAAGTTGCTGAGAGGAAGGAAGAAGCCAGATGGTTTTTATTTTTTTCTAAGCAGTCTAATGACTTGGCTTCCTTTCTCTGCCAGTGGGCCTGCTCAGAATTGCTAGAGAAAAAGGGGTATTGCAAGACTCTTTCCTACCTCCCATGAATCCAATGACTTTCCTACCTCCCATGAATCCAAGCAGGATTGCTGCAAGTAAGAAGCCTAGCCTCCCTTCCTCTCATGAAAGAAAGATACATTTGTGCAGGACATAGGAAGACTACAAAGCATAAGATGGACATGGGGGGCAATATGTGGGGACAGAAAGGCTGAAAAAGTTCCCTGCCCATAATTTACTTGGTACTTTATTCATAAAAGAGCAAAGCTGAATAGAAGTTGCAATTTTCCCACTTTTCCACCCTGTTTTTTTTTTCCCATGAATACTAGAAGGTCTACTACAGCCAAGATGAAAGATGACTTCTTTCTGCTCAGTCCATGAATCTTTGTCTTTACCTCTTCTTTCAATAGCATTAATGCATTTTCTGAGAATTGTGAGCCCAATTTTATCTAGTTGTGCACCTAAGAACAGAAAAAAATGAAAATATTTCAGATCTAATGAAATATGCTCTTTTACAAAAATAAAAGATCATCTGTACAAATAATTGTAAAGCTATAGCTATTCAGTTTACCATTGAAGGAGGGGATGGGTTTTAAAACCAATATATATTAATTAACACAACCCATGCCTGGCTTGTATAAATAAGCAGCCTTCTCCAACTGCTTTGTCTCTCTGCTTATATTTTCCCAAATTTCATCTAGTTGTGCCACAAAATAAAAATGTTACTGAGAAAAAAAATTAAAATGTGCATAACAAACAAAACGTTTGGCATTAATGAACACTTAACCAAAAGGTATTATTTCTGCACATTTTATCCTGTTATACTAAACAACAACAATAAAATGATCATTTGTTCCAGTGATATTCAATGGAATTTCAAAGTTATGAACTGAAATAAAGATTTAGGTCCTGAGTCAAAATAATGGGACATCAAATCACTCAAGGCAAATAGAGCTGTTTTCTAAAACAAGGCCTGAACCAAGTGTTGTAGTTGGGACATAATTTTATTACAAATGATTTATTTATCTCAAAGCTGGAACAATAAATCGCTTTGGCCCAACAGACTAAAGTTTATGTTCAGAAATACTTCTGGAAAATGTATTTTTTCATCGAAGTTTTAATATAAAGATTATTTCAATTCTAGTACTTACTTCCTTCTTTTTTTGTATTAGTCTTGTTCAAAGTGAGAAACACCTAACAAAACAAAACAAAACAAAAATATAAACATGTAACTGCACTCAAGATACTAGCTTTTAAAAATTTAGGTAAGGAAGAACTTCTCCCCCATCATTAAATGTCAAAAATGGGTTGCTAAGAATTGAATCAAAGTACCAGTTAGGTCAGTTACACTTTCATCTGTTTCTGTATGCATAAATGAGCATACTTCTGAATGGAAGAGATTACAACCCCACTTACATCAGGATCACACTGAAGGTCTGGTTTCCAAATTCCCTCCCATAATCCAGATAATGGTATTAGAGATAGAGGCAAATCCAAACCCTCTTCCAGACATCATCTGGAACCTGAGGAGAAGCTGCTTCAAAGTGTCAGCAATCTGGACTGCCTTTAAATGCCAGCTTTTAGGGTTTTAGCTTTGTCCACTCATATCCTTCCCCAAATGATAGTACATTGCAGGTGAAGGCATCAGGTGAAAAGGGGCTATGCTTAGTTGGGCAGACAGGCAATTTGGATTAGCTTTACAAGACAGATGTCTCATCCCTCCTCTAAATTATCAGTTAAGGGACTAGAATTAAATGGCAAGCAAACACACACACAAACACTGATGCCAAAAAGTTTGTGGCTTTATTATTTTGTATGTCTATTCCTTTTTTAAGACTTTTGCCAGAACTTCCCTACTGATTATCGTTCTGTTTCAAATAAATCTATACTAAGGGACTTTAGATAATCCTTCCTCCTCCTTCTCATTTGTATTTATCTATGGTGTTTCCTGGGGTATTACTGGATTTTTTAATTCTAACTAGCATCTTTCCAAAGGGAAGATAATCCTTCAAGTTTATTTGTACTTTTATTCTGTTCTCTTCATTTAAAAAAGAAAAAAAATTAAGTAACACAGTAAAAAGGAACTCTTGATTTGACAATAATATTTTAATAACTGCATGTCTAAACTATATAATCTGGAAAGGAGTGGACAGGAAATAAGACTGGCATTTTGACACGATAAATTACCATCACTTGTATCTTTTAAATTATGCTAAATTATAATGTTGCCAACAAATGTAAGATAAATAATGCAGTATAAATATATTTGTTATTTCCACACATACTGATACTTCAAGTATTTTGATATAAACCAAGCACTGAAGTCTCTCTTAAAAATTGTAGACATAAATCAACAGTTAAATTTCTGAGATACAATCTTTTTAGTAAGACTGTCAATTTATATTCTAACTGATAATAATTATCCAAACTTCATTTGTAAACAAGTTTACTTTGGAATAATTTTCTTCAAAAATAACAATAACAAAAAGTATGCTGCAACAGTTCAGAGAAGTCAGAAAATCTAGTAACAAACTTTCATAGTTTTAGTCTATGTTCAGTTTATACATAAATAGCTTTTCCTCTTAGATGGAACATTTATTTATTTCTAGGTGTATTTTTTTCTGTATACTTCCATACATATACATAAAGACAGATAGACAGATGCACTTGCACATATATACACATATCGAAATGTCCCACACACCTGATCCATAAAATTCTACACCAAATATGCATGGGTTAGTATTTAACAGTGATGTATTTTATTGTTTTAATTAAATAGGCTAAAATGGCTAGCCCTTCAGAAAAAGCCCTTTATTGCAATTATACTTGAACAGCATTTGAAACCTCAGCACAAAAGAATATTGATTTCATGCAGCATGTCTCATAATAGAGATGCTAGATATGACAGTATTTTTGTTCAGTAAGCATATAATACATTAGTTGTGTCACACAAACTATATAAATAATAGGAAATATGGCCTATGTTGTATTAGTGGTTTGCCTTCATGCTTATTTATTTTTAAAAATCATAATTCTCTTACAGTTTCCTTCCCATCTAAGGCTTCAAACCACATGTTCCTGTCCTCTTCTGAGAATGCTTGCATGGTCATAGGCATACCAGGTCTGGAAAAGCACAGTGTATAAAAGTTATTTAAATCACTACTGAATGCTAATTTTCATATAATGTAATTCTTTCATCACTATACTCTAAAAACACATCATATCCATTTTTGAAATTATCAAATATCATTGAAATTATAATGTAGTACCTAGCGCTAAGCCAAAAAGAAAAAAGTGCACAAGCCAAACACACACACACACACACAATGGTTTAACACAATACATGAAGCAAGCCATTATATCTGAACCTGAAATTCTGGATAGCCTTAACTAAAGTTAATTGAAGTCAACTCCAAAAAAAATGTTAGACAAAGAGAGTACATGAGCTCAAAGATCACTGAAGCTCATTAAAACAAAACCACAATGTATCATTATGTTTAAGTAGTACAACGTCTCATTATGCTTAAGTGATACCACTCTACTGTGCAAGAAATGAGACATATGAACTAGAAGGCTGAATTAGGCTGTCCCATTCCATAGCATATAATAATACCTAGTTTAAATATGTCTATGAATGGATTATTCACGTCACTTAAAATACTTTTGTAAGTAAAAGATTCATATATTCTTTTTGGCTACCTCCCTAGTATTTGAAATTTATCAAGACATCAATAATTATGGAATTTTCACTGGAGGAATGGCCAAAGTCATTATTCTACAATACTAGAATGATAAATTTACATCTGATTTGCACCAATAGATTTATGATGTTTCTGTCAACCTTAGAGTCAGGATGCTGTTGATTTCTGATGAAGAGTTAAGGAAGAGGACTTTAAAGCAATTTGACTAAGTTTTAGGGAGTTGATTTATGAAATACTTTTCTAGGCTTTTTTCTCCTACTCTGTTCTGTTTTTAACCAGTTAGCAATCCATAAAAGGACAGGTCCTCTTATCCCATGACTTAAATATCTTTTATGATAAACTCTGTCAAAGGCTTTTGGAAAATCCAAGCATACAAAATCAACAGGATCACCTTGATCCATGTGCTGTTGGTATTGAATGGTTGAGAAAAAAGCTAAGAGTAGGAAAATTGGGGCTGGATTGAGTTGATGAGATCCTCAAAAAGAAAGGTGTCAGAAATGTAAAGAACAAAAAACAATGTATGACTTGTTGCATGGACATGATGGAAAGCAAGGATGGTTTGAAAGGACAGAAAGGTATGAAGAGGGATAGTCAATGGCATTGATGTCAATTACATTTAGATTCATTTTTATTTTCTCTCATCCCTTTCATTTATTTTGCTTAGTACTTCTTACTCTTTTCCTGTACTATTTGGAAAAGGAATAGTGAATTGGTTATAAAATGATATACATGCCTAGGAAAGACAGTAAATTCACTGAACCACTAAAAGTATACAGGTTTTAAAACTGGAATCCCCACTATGGCATCTAGGAATGCAAATGTGCTCATGAACATCTCTCTTGGCAGTCACAAAAATCCTTGCCCTACCACTTACTGTATCTTTAAAAATAAAAATGGTGGGCAGTTTCAATGTGTTGAAAGTGTGTCTTCCTGCTGAAAAAAATGAGAAAAATAGGGAGGGGATATATACAACATCCTGTTAGAGGAAGTAGCAGATAGTGTTCTGATACTTTGTGAATGAGAAAGTCACAAGTTACAGCCATTTTGCACATGGCCCCCATTTCAAAATTCCAAAAGGACTGAGTATCTTTTAGTTTATTAGAATATTTAGTCTACTTGTGTACCCGTATGCAAAAGTTGTGAATATTCCTGGGTTTATTGAGTGTGCACATGAATTCCACTCTTCATATAGTTTTTAGTGCTACAATTTTTAGGCAACAGACTATCAGAAGTATGGAAAACATTCCTATGAGGATAGGTCAAAGGAAGAAGGTATATTTAGTACAAGGAAAAGAGGACTGGGAGGGATCATACACTCTTCAAATATATGAAGGCTTATCACACTGAAAATGGAAAAGCCTGGTTCTAGATGGCAAACATATTGTATTACAGGACCATAGATTTTGAATGAACACTAGGAGAAGCTTAATAGTGGTAAGAACAGTGAACAGTGAAGCTATGACCACAAAGGTTATGGTCTCTTTCTCACTGCAGATATTCAAGCAGAATCTGGTTGGTGGTCTAGATTGTTCTACCTCTAGATTACCTGCATTTTATACAGGGCTGCTAAATGGACTTTAAGGCTTCTTCCAAATCTACCTTTATATGATCACAGAAGGTCTTATAGGGTCATCCTATAAGAATGGTTGTACCAAATGAACTATATATGTAGTCCTTGCTTAACAACTACAATTGGGACTGGCAATTCCATCACTAAGCAACATAGTCGTTAAGCGAGACATCACGAGACTGCAACTTGCAATTTTACTGCCGGCTTTTCCATTGACTATGCTTGCCGGAAGCTGACTGTGAAGCACGTTAATGGTGATCACATGTCCATGGGATGCTGCGACAGTTGTAAATGCCAGCCAGTTGCAAAGCATCCAAATCTTGATCACATGACTGTGGGGACACTACAACAGTCATAAGTGCAAAGACTGTGATGGAATGTATCTACAAAGGCAGGGGGGTGATGTGGTGGATTACAGAGGCCAGCAGGTTTCTCAGGAAGAAGAGGGTGTATTCCAGGAAGAGCAGAGCACAAGAGACAATACAGTCCAGAGAATCTCCCAGGGTATATCCACTATTTGTAGTAATACAGATTTAGTCTGGCAAGATACTGTCTATATGGTGTAAGCAAACTGGACTATTTCCCTGTTGTTCTTGGGCTGAGCCTGACAAAGACTGGTTGTGAAGTTACATTTTCAGCATCACTGTAACTTCAAATGTTCACTAAACAGGGCAATCGTTAACCAAAGACTACCTGTAATAAGGACAAGCTTTATGTCACTTCAGTAATGGTTGGGTGATACTATGAAAGTGCTATAAGTCACTAGTGGGGAAATGGCCTGAGCTGGAACATCCTATATCATATCAGGAATTCATTTTGCAAATGTTGAAAAAAAAAGTGTCTCTCTGATAGCACTAGAGTCTAGGTCATCCAATGCAGATGAAGAATAAGGAAAAAAAGAGAGAAATTCTTTTGCATGCAATGAACAGCTGAACTATTAAAAAAATTACCAAAAGATGTTAGATGGCCCCAAAATTTAAAAGGGGAGAGACTAATGCAAGGAGAATAAAGGTATCATTGGCTGTTAATCATGACGACTATATATTATGTCCAGTACACAGGCAGTATGCAATGAATTTTCAGGTATCACAGCCTGAACAAGCCTTTTGTTCAGGCTTCTTTTAGATATCTCATTAGTCACTCTGATGGATTTACACAATGAACTAAGCCATAATGTAATTTGTTATGTTTTTGGCTTAGCAATATAGATGTCAGCTAATATATTACAACTTAGTGTGGTATGTATACCAGGCCATTACACTTGTTCAACAAGTATTTAAATGATTCTACCGAATAGTTAAAATATTCTTAGCATTCTGTATATGCTATGTGAACATGATATTACCTAAATTATGGGCTTCCTTGTTTTCTTATTGTAGTAAAAGGACTGAATTATATTGTAACATGTTTATTGGTTTATTATGAATTTTATCATGTCCTGAAAACTATTTTGGAAGTTTGCAAGAAATAACAGAATGACTTGTAGGCTTCCTAAATAAATAGAAATGATCATCATTAGGGATCTTTGTCTACCAGACCAAAGAAATGACCAAACACAATGAAGTGGTATGTTGTAATATGGAACTTAGTCATATTATTTCCTGGTGGATAACTGTTTCAGTTTTCAGTATTTGAAATCCTCAAAATGTGAATTAAATTCAGTTAAAACATGATATTAAGACATGCCTGGCCAACTTACCTCTCTACTGTTTCCATATCAAAACAAAATCGCCTATCTATAGAATCAGTATTCCTTTTGGTACAGTTCTGAAGGAGAAAGACTTCCAATTCACCCTGCAATAAATTAATTACATGAACACTTTGATGACAGACTATTATTAAAAATGCCAGGAAAAATGTGATTAAATACAGAAGTTTAATTGTTGCTATTGTTTGATTTCCCAGAATAAAAACATCCATCAATACTGTAGAATTTTTGGAACTGAATATAATTTATGCACAGAATTCACTCTATCATAAAATGAATTTCTAACAGGAATAAGAATTTCTTACTGAATAACAGATGAGTAACTTCAGAAACTCATCATCATCATCATCATCTTGTATGACTCTCAAGGTAAATTGGCTAATTGATCTTTCAGAATATTGTACACAGAAGGGAAAGAATCCTGATACCAGAAGGCCAACAAAAATCAAGTCTTTTACTCTGCCTTGCTTGCTACCAATACAGTAGCCTATACTGACAATTTGGAAGGTCATGGGGAAGATGATTATTGTAAGAAAACTGAAATGCTGCTGATTCTGGAAGATTCAAACAGTTATTAAAGAGCTTCTTGACTTGAAAACCACTAATATGAACAGGTTTATGGGGAAAAATACATTGTGCAAAAGTATACATGAATGTAGTAAGAGCTGGTCAACTGAATGTAAATTTTTGTGCCTTATGAGGATCTTATTTTTCAAATAAACTTTCAAATATTTTTGGTATTAATAAATTACTATAGATAAAATAAGGATATTTTGTTAAAGCTCTCCAAAATTCCACTTCAGAACTTTCCAGATTTATTATCTGTAATTCCCAATATTGTTTCTAACTATACTTAAAAGAAAATGTCAAATACGTAGAGAAGCAATACAGGATATATCTTTTCTACTGTTCTTTTGATATGAAATGTACTCACACTTTTTCCTCCTGATCTGTGTTCAAATGGTAACATAGTAAACTTCTTTGACTCTTTCTTATACCTGCAATAATGTTTTATCCAACTGGAACCAAATGGTGCTGGTCCTTCAACAAAACAATAATAATTAAAACTTCAGATTGTTAGTTATATACAGATGTTTTTGCATTGAATCTGCTTTTCAGATTCTTACATATTCAAAGTTCTTTAAAAAAAATACAATTTATGTACTGGCGTTAATAGAATCAAAACAGTAAAGGCAAAAGAAAATGTAAAAGAATTATACGAACATGGGAAAATTGAGCAGAGGTATCTTGTGCAGATGTAGGGAGCTAGAATGAAGAACAGAAAAAAACCCTCTATAAAGCTAGTCCTCGTTTAATTACAATTGGACCAGCAACTCTGTCACAAAATGATGTGGTCGCACATCATGTAACTGCAACAGACTTACAACCTTACTTCTGCTGTGGTCATTAAGCAAATCACCCGTGGTCATTAACCAAAACATCATGTGACCACAACTTGCGATTTTATGCCATCTCCATTGACTCCATTGACTCGTTGAAGCCAGCTGTGAAGCATGCAAATGGAAATAACATTTGTAAATGTCCACCAGTTGCAAAGCACCCACAGTCATTAACCAAGACATCATGTGACCGTGACTTGCTATTTTACTGCCAGCTCCACTGACTCTGCTTTTTGGAAGCTGGCTGTGAAGCATGCAGATGAAAATCACATGCCTGTGGCTTGCTATGACAGCTGTAAACACTCACTGCTTGCAAAGCACCCAAATTTTGATCACGTGAGCCCAGGAGTGCTGTGATGGTTGTAAATGTGAGGACCAGTCATAAAGTGACTTTCAGAGCCACTGTAACTTTGAACAGTCACTAAACAAGGCAGTCTTTAAGCAATCACTAGTTTATTCAACTTTTTCTGAGCATGACAAACAACATTGCTAAACAGCCTCTGTACATGTTTACAAGTTCCCATCATGAAACTAAACATAGATCTTACTTTTTTCCTGCACATAAAGATAGCCTTCCATTGCAAATTGATTTGCTCTTTTATGTTTCTTGGGATTTTGCTTGATTTTGTTCATGAGGTCTTCCACTTCTGATCTTGTTCCCTCAAAACGATTTCTTGTCTACAAGAGAAAATTTTAAAAACTTACAACAGAAAACCATAAACAAGTAATTCTATAATTAAAAAATGAAAACAACTAATAGTCTCCTGGTATTTAATATCTCTAAAACCAATTTAAGTTTTTTGTCAATTGCATACTGCTACAAACTTATAAAAGACCATTTTCCAGAGTGTTACTCTGGTTGCTGATACTTACTAACTACATACTGGAGACAGTAGGGCACTATCTAACTTTGTGTGTGTGTGCACACCTTTGTCTTGATTTCTGGAGACTACATGAACAAGTTATAACAAGGAACCATTGTAAGCACCCCTTGTTCAGCGCCATTGTAACTTTGGCCACTGAACAAGTGGACATTAAATGAGGACTACAAGTAATATAAACCATCAAATATTGTAACATTATTTTATTAAAATTGTTGGAAAAATTTGAGTAACTACTAAAATAAAAAGTGCTAGTACTTTTCTGTGAACTATTATAGAAGTATTAGTAGAATTACATGGCAAATAAAATACAGAACATAGCATATGGACTATCAAGTTAAAAAATTACTGAGAGAAACAGTTCAGGATTGGATGATATTTATTTTGAAGGCATCATTGTGTCTAAATCACATACTTCTAAGCCTGCCAATTGTTAACAGTGTTACCACTGCTAATTCCTGCTGAATTTGGATTAATAATTATATAAATAATTAATAATTTGTTAAGAGAGACAGTTTGGTGTAGTAGTTAAGACATCAGGATAGAAACTGGGAGACCTTAGGCATGAAACCAACTGAGCAACCTTGGGCCAGTCACTCAGCCCTAGGAAGCAGGCACTGAAAAATGACTTCTGAAATCTTGCCTAGACAACTGCAGGCATTTGTCCAGGCAGTTGCCAGGAGTCAACACTGACTCAAAGGCAATTTCAATTTATATTTATATTTATATATATAAGCTATCTTAATATTTGTGTTTCTGATGGCTATTAAGAGCTACAGTTTTGGTTTCATACAAAAACTTAAAACATGAACAGAAGCATCATAAATAAGAGATCATAATACCACAATCTTTCATACAGAATATTAAATCTCCATAGTTTATATTACAATTTCCAATTAGTTTGATACACAATGTCCAATATATGGAACTGCCAACAAAATCATATTTTACTATATATTTCCACATATTTAAAAATAATTCAATAGAATTTAAACATTAATAGATAAAATAATTTCATTTCTATTTTTGATTGGTAAGATATGCAAAATGTGGCAGAGGTATTCCATTTGGTAACTGCTTAAAGGCTTAACAAGTCATATAGCCTATTAGCCTGCAGATGGCATTACATTTCTATAGTTCTGTAGAACATCATCATGAATTACAGAGATACAAAATTGCAATAACAGGAAAAGAATTACATATGGACATAGCTTACAAACAAAGGATAGCTTCACTTACATTCTGGATATTGATCTGCAGAGCCATTTTGTAATGGTTAAAATCTTTGGCAAGTTCATAGCCTTGATGGTAGAAAGTGAACATGCCCTGAAAAAATGACAGGACCTAAAACACAATAAGATTTTTTTTTAGCTTAGATGGCAAAGGAGTAATTTCTTCTTACTTTCCTCTTAGCAATTAGTCCTGCCTCCAGGGGGATTTTAGAGCATAGCACAGGGTTCCACTGTTATTCACTAAAAATAACAAAATTTGTACACTTGTAATTGACAGCATAATTAAATGTGGTTGAATAAAATAGCAAAGGGAAATATAGAGCAAAATGCAAATGGTTTTGTTTCTTGATCCACTTTTACTTGTTTTCTTTCCTAACATTTATTTTCTTTCAGAAATGTTTTTAATATTCTACTTACAGGTTCTACAAACTCAAATTTCTTTCGTTCTTGTATTTCTTGCAGTTTACACACATATTCAAGTAACAGCTCATAGAAATGTTTTCTGTTTTGCTCTATTTGGTTGTCTGCCTGCATAAAGAAAACACTGGTTTTTTTAAGATTCAGAAATCCTATACAGAAACATGTTGTGTCAAGTATCACAATCTAACACAGAATCATTAACTGCATTAATTTTAATGAAACTATACACACCAAACACTATGGTTGAAGGATTTCAGGTGGCAAGAGATGAAATTAGCCTCATGGCCCAAACGTTTATATTAACTTTTGCATTTATTTAATAAATTTATTAGAGCAGATGGGGGAAAAAAACTGACAAGTTAACTAGTTAGATGAAATGAACAAAAAGGAAAGTTATCATGGTTTAGGCATAAACTATTTTTGTTTTGCTCAATGAATTAGAGCAAAGAACTGTAAATCATTGGAACAGTTTATTAAAAGGGGCACAATTTCCACCAAAAATGGCTATCAGGAGATATAAGACCTTGGGTTTCATTTTATTAAAATATATAAACATGCATTCACACAAGAAATGTTAATGACTGACATCTAATCAAAATCAGAAACCTAATGTACTTGCATTTTGAGTCCCAGAAAAAATATATATAATCTAAGCACTGGCAGATACTTTATTGAAAATTAAGTTTTCAGCTATTAACTCCCCACTCCCAACCCAGAATGAAAAAAATTGCTGCTAGCAACTTACTTTCAAAAGAATTATTATTGTAAGTGTTTACATTTATCCTCTCCCCAAAAGATGGAAGATTTGCTTGACAATATAGTATAAACAATACCTCCAACAGTTGTGTTTCTTTCTTCTTAGCTGACATATTTAAATGCTTCTCCAATAAACTATAGTTCTTTTCTGTTTCTTTATCAAACTTCTTTTTTTCTTCCTAAAAACATTTTTAAATGGAAAGAAGATAAAATATATTTGTAATAATACATTTTTTTTGTAAAAATGAAGAACTTTGATTCACATGAACATCATAGTTTAGTACAAGGCAACTATAACCAATTCTGGTATAAGTTATTTTTGTTCAATAAAGTATAAAACACAACTAGCAACACACAGAGAGACAACCAACATATATCAAGTTAGTCCTTTTAATTTTATCACCTTGTTATGTACAAATAATGGATTTATGGATAATACATATCAAGAAGCTTTACTCCAAG